GCGCCGCTGGCGCCACTGCCGACCCATCGCGGCGTCCAGCTCGCCGGCCCTGCACGCCCAGCCCGGTCGCCGTGCCCCCACCTGATGATGGGGACGAAAAGCCGCGGCGCCAGCTCCCGCAGCCCAGCCGGCGACCCGGGGCCCGGGTCGGTTGGGATCCGAGTGGCCCCCAGCGCAGCCTGGCCTCCCAGGAGACGTCCTCCAGGGCCGACCGGAGAGGGGCCGGTGGAGCGAATGGGGAAGCGCGGTCGGCAGGGTGCGGAGGGGCCGTGCGGGAAGCCCGGAGCCCGGAGGAGGAGAGAGCAGGGAGAATCCAAAGAAAGAGACGCGAGGCTGAGGACGCAGCGAGGAGCGGGCCGCGGAGCAGGGCAGACGGGCCCGGAACGGCCAGGTCGGGCGGTCAGCAGCCTCGGCTTGCACCCCTTCCCGCAGCTTGGCCAGACCCGGGGCCCGCAGTTCCGCTTGGACCCACGGCCTCCGCCGGCCGGGCCCACACCCTCTCCCGGGCCGAGGCCTTTGGGCAGGGCTGTCCCAAAGGAATCCTCCCCATCTGCCCTCCTGGGGTCTGGCGCCCAGCCCTCGGTCACCCAGCCCAGCTCCTGCCCCTCTCGGGCCTTGTGGACCCCAGGAAACGAAGTGCCTCCAAGAAGTGTCCCAAACCGCACCGGTCTACGCTGAGACTCCGGCCAGGGTCAGGGCCGAGCCCCAGACCCTCAGCCCTTAGGACGCCCTTACCGGCAAAGCGACCTGCGCGCTTGGGTAGCCGGACTGGGAATCCGAGAGCATGTACCGCGGGGCAGGGATGGGGGCCCGGAAGGCCGGAAAGCTTTGTGCAAAAGAGGACGGTTCGAGACTAAATCATTCTACAGACACCAAATTAATGGGCTTTAACGCGCGCCCAGTCCCGCTAGGAAGAAAAAAAAACGGGCGTAATACACTGGACCCCAGCGAGACACCCGGATCGGGTGAAATAAATCAGAAACAAAACAGCCCCCTATTCCAGAGCAGAGAGAATCCGCCCTGAGATGCTCGGACCCTAATGATTCCGATCATTTGATCATCGCTTTCTAAAACATTTTATCGTGGGAGTTTTCAAGTATAAAACAAGAGTAAACTGCTGGGGAGGAAAAAAAAAAAAAACACCTTGTGGCCGCCCCCAGGGGCAGTTAACTCCTGACCAACTTAGTTTGTTTCTATTCCCCTCCCTTTGTTTTTACCAACTGATTTGTTTTTGCTGCCAAATGCGGGTATCACGGTATCTCAACAGTGACTACATAAATGCATCTTTAACTTTTTAAAATAACCATCTGGCTACAAATCCCAGCTCCCAGTAAATCCACAGCCTGCTCCTCACTCGGTAGTGCTGGCAATTGGTGGTTTGACTTTCCTGGGATGTGCGGGTCGTCAAGATGTCTTATTACTTTTACCGAGGCGGAGGGGGGGGAGGGGGGGCAGGACACAAAAGTTGAGATCAACAGCTTGTGGAGGAGAGGATGGAGGCAGGGCTCCTCCCCCAGCGGTGAGAGTGAGCCCCACACCCCCACACTGGTCTCTGCTCGGGCTCCAGAGCTCTCCAGAGAGGACAGGGCCCCCTCTCCGCTCCACCTGGGAGGGTGGCTTCCCCTCCTTTTCCTTGGGGCAACCTGGGGACCGCTAAAACCAGGAGACTTCCCGCCTTGGGTGAGACTGGGACCCCACTTCCCAGGAGGGAAGGATGTCAGGACCCCATAAAAGGATGAGACCTTTCAGGGAGCAGCCCCACAGGTGTGGAGTGCAGGCCAGCAGCTGGTCTCTCTGGGTACCCCAGAATCCCTGCTCCCTCAGAACCTCAGTTTACCTTTTCAACAGGTTGTTAGCTGGGGTCAGAAGGCCACAAAGAATGCCGGGTAGAGGAAGCCTGACAGAATCATGGAGGAGCTGGGAGAGCCCCAGGGCCTCCTGACGCTCACCTGGCTGGCACCCGGCCCTTTGGCCTCCACCCAGGGGAACTGTTTCCTGGGTGGGCACTACGCCAAGGCTCTGGGAAACCCTTTTCTCATCCGCGCTAACGCCCCCTGCATGTGGTGACAGGGCCTTGGGGTGCATAGGGTGCTCCCCCCTGGAGAAGAGCCACAGCACCGTCCTGGACAGCAGGGGCTGTGTGCTTGGGGTGCGGAGGCCAGGATGGCAGTGCCCAGCGCCCGGCAGTCACACTGGATGAGGCAGGAATGAGTGGCCGTGTGGCCAGCATGGGCCGGGTAGGCCAGGGCAAACCCGGGAAGGGGCAGGCCTGAGTCCCCTTCTTGGTACCCTGGGTACAGAGCTGCCTTTGGGCCCCAGCTCTGTGAAGTGCTTTATTACTCATTCCTCGTAGTCCAGAGGACCCAGGGCTAGGGGCGGGTTCCCGAGATGTCTGTGGGGTGCTGCCTGGGGGATCCTGTTGGTCTCAGACCTAGCCCCTAGTCCTCTTGGTATGCGGTGATGGGGAAACTGAGGCTTGGAGAAGGGAGGGGGCTCGCCAGGAAGGGTCTCCTTGCCAAGCAGGACTCAGTCCCCTGCTTGAGTGTCCAAAGCCCATTTGACTCAGCTGGGCTCAGTGGCTCTGCAGCCAGAGGCCCCGGGGGCTCAGGGCGGCTGCCCGGGAGCCTCACTTAGGCTGATGAAGGAACCTGGGAGGAGTAAGGGAGGGCGTGCGGTGGAGACAGATCGAAGCCATCCATCTCTGCCAGCCTGGAGGAGCCAGTGCGCCGAGGTGCGCCGCGGTCGATGGCTCAGGAGCTGGGGGCTCCGAGGGGCCGGCACCCTCCGGGGATTCTCGGGCCGCACGGTGTGCCATTGCTTCTCTCAAGCCTGAGCTGCCCCTCATGGCCTCCCCAGGTCAGAGGCCTGTGACTAACTGCAGAGGCAAGGCTCTTAGAGGCAGTGGGCGAGTGCAGCGGGGATGCGTCTGCACTTCCTGCCTGGGATGCAGCCTGCTTGCTCCCCAGCTCTCTCCATCCCGCCTCCCTTGCGTTCTGGGCCCGCGGCCTGGAAATTGCTCTCCGCCCAATCTAATTCCATCAAAAACACAGCTCCGTCTTCAAATCTGCCCACAGTTGAGCTGCGTGGACCTGCCTGATGCCAGCGGAAGCACAGTCACTGTCTCCCCAGCCCTGCGCCATCCCACCCAAGGCCCCGACAAGCAGCCAAGTTTCTCCCAGCGGTCTTTAAGCCCAGCTTCACTGGGAACTCTGGTTGGACCCATCCTGTGGCACCGGGAGACCTTCAGACTGCACCGGCACCATCTAGAAACCGGTGGCCACACCCTTTATCCTGGGTTTTCATCATCCCGTTCATAAAGGCCGAGCAGAAAGCCTCCAGGACGTGGAATCCAGAGGCCTCCACAGCTGGAACAGCACTGCAGGCCCACAGTGCCAGGCAGAGAGACCTGGTCCCCTGCTGAGCCAGGGTCCTGCACTGGGCTCTGAGGCCTCAGCCACATTGTGGTCACCGCGGTCACCAATGCCCAAGCCCATCTGGGGTGGGATGAGGCGAGCCGGGCGGCACCACCAAGGCCTAGAAAGGGCACGTGAGGGGGGAGGGTGGGAGGGAACACCCCACTACCCTCTGTGACTGCCGGCTGGTGAGGGTGCTAGAAAATAAATTCATTTCATTGGAGCAGATCATAGTCCGTCCCAGAAGAAATCGGCAAAAACGGGTTTAGGTTTATTATTGAGAAAAGCAGTTGAGGCAGCCCAGGCAGCGGAGCCCCAGCTGACCCATGGGGGAGGCGGGTTAGAGATGCGACTGCTGGCCAAGGACCCTCGCCTCCACAGGAGCCTCTCCAAAAGCCACAGCCCACCCCAGCAATGCACCAGCTGCTGAAGGGCTGGCCAGAGACCCCAGGAGCTAACTGCCGCCTAGGGTGGGGTGGGGGCGCACACGGAGGAGCAACCCCTCAGGCCCTGTGGTGCCTTCTCTAGGCTGTCTGGCGCCTACTGTGTGGCAAGGTGAAGCCGGAGGGAGACAGTTTTCAGAGGTTCCATTATGCACGGAAGAGGACCTTTCAGACCCTGAAGGACCTACTACCCCCAGACTCAGAAGCACCAGAAATAGTGCCCCCTCCCACACAGGACAGGACCTCCCCCATCTGCACCCAGAAGCCGCCGATCAGCTTCTTCAGGCAGTGCAGACCGGTGACAGCGATTCAGTCCTCAAAAAGAGGGGAGCAGCTAAGGCAGGAGGCAGCGCAACTCCCACAAGTTAGCCTGCCAGGGAAAGCAGTGGACACAGAGAGCTCCGAGGCCCTTTGTGAGGCTGCCTGTGGCTTTGGGTTCCAGCTCGGTCCTGGAGTTGTGGGTCGCCCCCTCACCTCTGTTTCCCTGTTCCCCCGCAAGACCACCATGGAGTCCTGGAGTCCTGTCCATCTCAGAGCAGGGGTCAGGGAGTATGGACCCCATCACCCCTGTTCCCGTCCACTCTGCACACCAGCACAGCAGCCCCGGCTCCCCTCCCAGCACCCGGTCAGCAGGTGCCCAGTGTAGCCTGCATGCAGCAGTCACTCCCACCCCAGGTCACACAACAGCCAAACTGTCCACAAAATGTCCCTTTTTATTCCATACGCAAATAAGCATATTCAGCAAAAAAAAAAAAGTCTTCACCAGAGAATCCGGGGCTACAGCCTAGGACAGAAGCCCCAGTCCTGCCGGCCCATCCCCAGATCCGGGTCCAACACTGGGGGCCCCCTCCACCTCGGTGGCAGGGAAGGCGCTGGTCACAGCCCACCCAGTGACCTGCCGCTGTCGCTGTCTACGTTCCGCTGTAGTCCCAGGAAAGGAGTTATTTTGTGCTGGGGTCAGAATGACTGTGGGGCAGTCACCCGGAGCCCCTGGGGTAGCCCGTGAGGCATCTTCCTTCGCAGTGGAGCCCAAAGTTGCTCCTGGGCTGTGCGCCTAGAGCCAGCATCCTTGCAGGGTCCCTTTTCCCAGCGAGAGCTCCAACCTTGTGGCTGGTGGGGAGCTGCAGTCCAGTCGCCCAGTACATTCTGGAGGGCTCCCCAGAGCTGCGCGCGTCCTCCTCAAGGTACCTAGGAGCCCCAGGGAGCCGCCCCGCTCCCTGTGCGCACCGCCACCAGTCGAGCGTCCGCGGGGACTGCGGCGACCGGCAGGGACACGCACAGCTCATACCAGGCCTGGCATTTGCGCCCGCAGGAAGGGCACGGAGGCAGCGGCAGGGAAGGCGGCCAGCGGGTAGGCGAGTGCCCCGGAGAAGCCGAGCAGCGGCGGGGGTGGCGCGGGCGCAGGGGTCGCCAGCTGGAACGGCAGCGCAGCGGGCGGTGCAGGCGGTGCAGCCGGGGGGCTCTCGTGGTAGAGCACGGGCACACGGACCAGACGCTGCGCGCCCGGTGGGGACAGGCTGGCCGCCTCCAGCTCGGCAGCCAACTGCCGCTTCCACTTGTTGCGGCGGTTCTGGAACCAGATCTTCACCTGCGTCTCGGTGAGCTGCAGCGAGGCGGCCAGGCCTGCGCGCTCTGCGCTGCTCAGGTAGCGCTTCAGGTCGAAGGTGGACTCCAGCTGGAAGACCTGGCTTCGGGAGAAGACCGTGCGCGTCTTCTTCTTGCGGCCTCCGCCGCGTGCCTCCCCCGCCACGGCCGCCGGGGCCTCTGCCAGCTCCACTGCCTCTTCCCCACAGGCCGCCGGGCCTCGAGCCGCCAGCTCCACCGCCTCCCGGGGCACTGCGCCCTGCCCGGGGCCCCGCGGCCAGGCGCCCTCTGCGCGCCCCATCTCCTCGCCTGTCTCCGGTGAGTCCCGGTCGCTGGCTGCAGGAAGAGAGGGGCATAATGGTTGGCTCCCAGGGTGCGGTCCTCCAGGCTGTCAGCTGTCCCATCTTGAGGTCACCCACAGCCAGAGACTAGGATTGTGTAGCCCAGTGTGGGCATCCAACCCAGGATGGAGAACGGGGTAAGGGAGGCCAGAGTGGATGGTCCCCAGAAAGTTGCTGCAAACGACCCTCCATTACTCTGGCATGCACCAGAACGCCCACCCAGCAGGAGAGGAAGACAAAAACACATATACACAAAAAGCAGGGTGACCCCAGCCACCTCCCAGCTGCATGCTGCACCCTTGGAAAACTGCACAAAGCATGTGAACCAGGGGACAGGAGCAAAGAGGTACCTCTGAGAAACCCCAAATGGGAAACAAGCCAGGAGCTGTCCCGCCCACACACCAGCACCCAGCCTGGAATGACCAAGACTGATCCCTCTGGAGCACCCTCCGGATGCCAATGTCAACTCAAAAGAGCTCAGGCCACAAACAGGCCGTCCCTGCCAGTCAGGAACACACGACAACCACACCCTGCCCAGACACCTAGACCGGCCGTCCAGCTTGTAGGTTTGGGGACAGAGGCCCCAGGGGAAATGAGGAGACCTTGAGTGCCTGCTCCAGCACCTCCCAAAGGGAGCAGCGGTCCCCAGGGTTGGCAAGGGAGGACGCAAGTTGAAGAGGTCCGCCCGACCCCTGGCACATCTGCGAGACGGAGGAAGGAGCCAGGGCCCAAGCAAAGGCCCTGGCTCCCGCTGAGGTCGGCAGAGTCCAGCCGGCCCCCGAAGGCCAAGAGATGAGGTGGACAGGGGTGTGAGCCAGTGCCTGCGCCAGGAGTGCCAACGGTGATGCGCTTGCGTGCACACTCGGTCTGGGCCTGTGTCTTTGGAGGCTGCAGATTCTGTGCCCCATCCAGTCCCTTTGCAAAACATGTGCCCTCCTGGTGCCCACACGAAGTCCAGCAGCGGTTGGTGTGCACAAGTCCTGCTGCTCCCCTACCCAAAAGACCTCAACTCCTAGAGGCCCAAGCACTGCCAAGCTGTGCTTCCTGCCTGCTCCAGGTGGAAGCTGGGACCCTAACCCGCATTGCACGAAAAAACAGAGGCACCAACTCTTTGGGTAGCTGCCAGCTGGGATGCAGGTGGGGACCTCCCCAGGGGGCAAGGGGAGAACAAATGTCACCAGGGAGGGCAGTTTCCGAGTCACCTCCACAGGAGCACTAATTGGAGTCGTCAGATTTCAAGGAAACTTCTGAGCCACTGCTGCAGTTCACGTAAGGGGGTAGAGCCTGGACGCTGCAGGCTCTGAGCTGTGGGTCCTTTGGTCACAGGGGTCACTCCTACCCCAGGAAGGGGGTTAGCAAACAGGTGAGAGGGGTCACAGGTCATAGGCCACCTGCTCCCTCGAACACACACTCAGACCTGCACACCAGCACCCAAACGGATCCCAGGGCTACGGCTGGATGACAGTGCTCAGCCAGCCTCCCAGTGTGTTTTTTGGGGAGCAGAATGGGAGGTTGGGGCAGTCTAGCTTTGTTGGTCTCCCTGAAGGACAGGTCCACAAGGGAAGCACCGATGCTGCGGAGACGGAGAACTCTGGGACTGGGGTGCCCAGGCTAGAGAGACAAGCGGGTTGTAGGGCCCCCATGCCCCCATCCCGGCCTCTAAGCCCTCAGCGGGGAACAAAGGCCTGGGAGGGGGAGGGGCGGGAAACCGGGAGAGGGGCTTGGACGAGGGGACCCCCTTGCCTGGCAAGGCCTAAGGGCCTGGGAGAACCCGCAGAGCGGTCTAGGGCTCAGTCTCAAGTTCCATCCGAAGCCTCAGGCAGGCACAAAGGAACCGGAGCGGGAGCCGGAACCCCAGGACTCCTGCCGAAGGCCCGTCAGACCCTCGCTCAGTGCCTCCTCAGGGCTGTGTGGCTGAGCGCTGCGCCCGCCCTTCCGCTAGCCCCCCTCTATCGCTTCTCCCATCACTCCGGGATTGGGGGCTTTTGTTTGTTTTTGCATTTCACTATGGCCCCTGCCTCACCACCCTGCCCTTCCGCCCTCGTCCTTCCATTTCCTTCCCCCCAGTCCACCTTCACTCTCCTCCCCCTCACTGCCTGCAGTCCCGGCCCCAGGCCCCTCGTAGCGGCGCCCCCTCAGGACCCGCAGATCCCGGCAGGGGCGCAGCCGCAGGTCGGACCCCTTTCCCGGAGTGGGTCCCCAAACCTGCCCAGCCGGGGGCGCCGCGAGGGCCTACACGACCCTGGCCCGCCGCACGTACAGGAAGGATGGCCTGGAGAGGACAGAGGCGAGGAGCCCGGGAGTCCGAGCGGCTGGGGGACGTGGGGCGCCGCCTGCCTCTCCCCTCGCCCCCCGCGCCCCAA